TAAGCTTCAGTCTACTGAAGAAGAAAAACTGAATCCACAGTTAATTTAATCCAACTGTAAGTTCTGAGGAACAAAAACACTAAAATGGCAGAATATGTCTGTATGATTACGTGCCTCATCATCACTGAAATCACAAAAAAACACTTAAAAGTTTGTTCTTGTATGAGCTCCCAGACTGCTGAGTTCAACTTTTACACACAGGTTCACCAGTTCAGTCATTTAAAATGGTTTCACGTACAAGGTATTCTCCTCAGTGAGGCACGTTGCATCTCCAGTTTATTACATGCACTGTGGTTAAGACAGAAACCTACATTCTGCCATTTGATCTGCGATTGGCTAATGATGACAGAGGTTATTGATGACGTTAGTTTGCCATGGAAAACTTGCTCTGCCTACATTCTGCTCTGTCTGTATCATTTACTGTTTGTGCATCAAAAATCGCTGCTATATTCCTGTAAATAATCAAGATACGTATTCATCTTTTTATGCCAACTCATGTAAAAATTCTAATATGGCTACTGAAATAGAAACAAAAACTGACATGTATGGAAAAATAAGTAAAAAAATCCCAGAATGTTTATTTTTGGTGTTGGCATCTTATTATGTTCTTAGGTTACACTGTGAAAGTAAACAAAGTGTAAGGTGTTTTAAACAAAATGCATTTAAAGATGAACAATGTATGTAAAAATACAGGGTTAAAAACAAACTAACTATGATGTTGGTTTCATTAATATTCTGCTTTACTTAATAATATCAGTCTGCTATAAAAATATGTTGGGATATTTCTGCCATTGGATTAAATTAAGCTGTGAAAGAAGAGTTAAACTTATTTTGTATATCAATTTCTACCCCTGTATCAGAAATTTCCCTATATTTCTTTCTAATTTGAGCCGTATCTTAAATGGAGCATAAACGTCACACATCGTAGCACGAAAACGCGTTCTGTCATTCCTGAAAAGCATTTTTGTCTTTTTGTTTTGAAATGTCTCCCTTCTGTCCTCGATTAACTATATATTACACTACATACAACCATATTCAATAATTAGAATATTGAATAGTTGATTTATTTCAGTAACTCAATTCACTAACTGAAATATTTTTTTCTCAAATTTCTCTCTAAATTATAGTGATTTTCTGCTTATAGCTTATGAAATCCCATCCTAGATTAGAATACTACATCAGACTAATATAAACAATATTTTCAATGCAAAACTGTGGTCTTAATGAAATGTATGTTTAATACCTGATTAAAGGTTGTTATTTCAAAATGTTCCTTTAATCTGGCAAATGACTGCAAAACATATAAAGCATTCAGCAGAGTTACAATCTGTATTTCAATAGCTGCATTTAAACCCAAAACCTTTCACACCCCCAGCAGCAGATTTTGAATTTATTAAATTTTTATTCCTTCAAGAAATTTGTTTCTGATGAGAAATCAGATAAGCATCTCTCAAAAGATACTAGAGCAAAGTAAAAGGTGCATCAAATCTAGGGGAATAGAAACAGAAAACTGATTTGCAATGTAATAAAAAATATATTTATACTTCTTTATAATTAATTAAAGAAGTCTTTAAAAATAGCCGATGTCTATATTTCTGAGCAGCTTCTTGCAGGTTTCTGCTGGTATTTGTTGATTTCTCGTCAATGATGAGCTCCGATCTGAGCCAGATGTGGATTATTGTGTGTTTAAATTTTAAATATTAACAATCAAGCAAACAACTCTTTTTATAGAAGAAATCTGCTGTGATCAGAATAGAGCCAACTTATAATTTTTTGTGTGAACTTATATATATATGTATATATATATATATATATATATATATATATATATATATATATATATATATATATATATATATATATATATATACGTTTTGTGTGTATGTTTCCGTATGGATGTGTCCATCTACGTGGAGGCAGAAGTTGTCAAGAGTATTGCAGTGATCTTAAAGGTTTTGTTCTTTAATACAAAGTAAAAATTTATCAAAATAAAAATTTCTTCTGCATAACTATTGTCCTTCATTTGGACGATCTCAAAGTTCAGTGTCCACAAATTCACAGGTGCAGAAGCGTGCAATATGACAATGTCATGTAAACAGATGTTCTTTTTTCTTTCTCTCATTGTTTCAGAGTAATTACACATTATATTAGAGAAGACGGAGAGCAGTGCGTCTGCAGAGAAAGTAAGTGCCACTGAACCAAGTCGATTCGCCCCTTAATGTCCTCAAATAAAAAACTAATTAAAGCTCCAGCCTTCATCCTCCTAATGAATACTGTTTTATTTGCTTGTTTATACACAAAGCCTTTATTCTTCATGTTGCATACTGAAGAGACTTAGAGTGGTTTGCAGTTTTAGTGATGTTGACGTTGGAGACAGAAACAGAGTGAATGCTTGAAAAAGTAAAGACGAAAATGTAATTTTACCCTCAACAGTTCAAAGGCGATATGTTTAATCTGCTACACAAATATTACTAAATCCACAGGAGACGCGTTATATCCATCCATATTGCAGCCGTCCTGAAGCGTTTTCAAACATCTCAGCTCAGGAGAATAATTTTTCTTAAAGCCATAAACCATCTGAGAATTCACTGGAAAAACACAAAATCTTACCAAGTATTTTCTATGTCTACATTATTTTCTACTGCAAATAGATTAGAAATAAGACAAAACTAACTTACAAGTAGCTTTTCAGCAAATGTAGGAGTTTGCTTTAAGTCAATAATTTCTTAATGTTGATGAAAAAGAACTAGCTATAAGTCAAAATGTCTTGTTCCGCTGGGAGATTATTTCACTTATAGCTAATACTTTTTCATCAATATTAAGGAATTATTGAATCAAAATAACCTCCTATATTTTGCTGAAAAGCTAATTGTAAGTTAGTTTTGTTTTATTTCAAATGTACTGAGATATTTACACTAGAACAAAAATACTTGGTAAGATTTTGTGTTTTTGCAGTGACAGAAGTAACAACGGTCAGAAACAAAACAAATCAGAAAGAGATTTTTCTGAATGTGTAATTTTTGTAAAATGGCAGGATAAAAAAGGTTGTTATAGTTAAGCCTGCAGCTCTTCTATTGCTTTAACGATGTTAAGAAGCGCCTCCAGTTCAGATTTAGAGTACTTCTTCAGTCAGTAAAGACTTTTGGTAGAGCTCATGTAAAAGGCAGCTTTAATGCTACGTGGTTAAACATGCAGACGTATCCGTTTAGCGCGATCATGAATCAAAGGACTATCTTACAAACAGACAGGTGCTCTGCTGCTGGTGGCCTGAAACACACCTGTGAAACATTAAAGGCCAACAGACCAGTTTCACCATCACCTCTTATTTCCTGTAATTTGCCCCACATCCTGTAGTGAAGCATTTAACGCCCAACTGATAAAGATACGGGCCCCTATAATATCAGTTCAGCACCTCATCGGTCTCAAAAACAGTCTTATCTCAAGCAGAGTCTGAGGTCTGATCACAATCTGGAGTTTACTTAAACGTGAACTCGAGTGATTTCGACGAGTGAAACCTACGTGGGCCTGCAGCTACACATGAGGGGAGTTTACAGGGAGGGAAAACACCTCAACACATGATCGTTTGACTCCGAACAGATCGAGAACATTCAGTTTTTAAAATGTTTAAATCCTTTGGCAGGGCTTCGGTTTGCACCTGCAGGCCCGGCCCAGCTGGCAGCTTGTTTAAAATGCCTAAAACTCCCATTCTACAACACCGCTTCTCACTGCGCTCAACATGAATGTGGCACAAATTTGTGCTTGGGTTTCCTGCACAACAACGGCTGTTTTATGGTGAAGTAAAAGCAAGTGAAATCACATTAGCGGATCTGTTTTGGCTCCTGATGGAAAACACAACTTGAAATGGAAATACAAGAAGGAGGGATAATCACCAGTTCATGAATTTCGGTTTCGCTTTGAATGCCTGAATGTGTGTGTATGTGTGTGTGTTCATTTGTGAAAGACAATGAAAAAGGGAACTGAGTAATGCAGGATATTATGAATCTATGAAAAGGGAATCCTGTTGTCTCATATGAGGACACCCCCAGTGAATAGACAGTTATATTTTCATAACAGGGAAACACAGCTTGGTAATTGCCTGCAGAGAAGAAAAAAAACGCACATTAAGGCTCGAAAGTAGACATAAACGTTGGGTGAAATGATGAATTAAAACCAGCAAGAGGAAATGAAGAAATTTCAGGGGGTTTTGTTCTTTAAAATGGTGCAGAATAAAAGCTGTACCACTTTAATCCATCACAAAGCCAAGAGTTTATCAAGAACTGCTGTTTTTCAGGTTTATGTGCAGTAAGTGGACGGACATCAAAGAAATCAGCAAAACAGCAGAAGTTTAGGACAACGAAGGCATCTGATGATCCTGATTTCCCACAGTCAGCAGACCGAATGTAAAAACAGCTCAGGAAAAGTTATACTGCAGTACAAATGCTAAAACATCACCAAGACAGATATGCCTGCAGGACTGCATTGAAATTATGAAGCAGAGTCTCTTCATCTTAGTTTTATCGCAAGCCATCAACACGCCGAGCTATTTCACACGCAAAAAACACATAATCCTTTCTGACGACATATCGACTGTGAGAGAACAAGCATTATCTTTAATAATTGTAATTGTAATTTCTTAAAAAGAATCAATAACTTTTCTCTTTTTTTAAATCAAAGTGAATCTATTCTGTCTTTAGACAAAATTTTGCAGCACATATGATACAAAATACTTGGTACTGGACTAAAAAAGCTTCAGACAGCTTATACAAAGACACCCCATTGTAATATATTATAAAATATTGCAATTATATGGCCTCAGACTGACTAAAAGCCCAATAGAGGAACACACAAATGGCTTTTTGAAGCAGTTTAGTTTGCAGCGAACACGAACATAACGAGCCTTTTTCTCCTTACGGCATATTATATTCTCCTGCATTTTGGAAATTGCACACATTTGTTCCTCCGCAACAAAAAAATACGCCTCTAATAGCTTAAATCCTTACTTCGACTGTCGTTACAGCATTTCATCTGATCCACCTGCAGTCCATACGTGGCGGTCACTGAGGAGATTTGACCATTTCTAAAACTAAAATGAGACAAAAAAACACCCAAAACTACCCAATATATCAGATCATATGACAAATAAGGAAGTGAAGCAACAAAAGTTTGCTGTCATAGCCTTAAAGAGCCTCCATTTACGGAACTTACAATGTTACAAATGCGCTCATGTCTTGAAAAAGCAAAGGAATTATATTAAATGTTAAATTTGATTTATCTTTTAATTTTAATAGACTCCAAGGTTTTTATGACAAGCCTATGTCTTATAATAAGGCTTTTTAATGATAATAGTTCTTCAAATAAGCTAAATTTAATCAATTTTATAATCCCAAATCCTCATCTGAACCTTAACACTTTTGAGACAAGAGAGCATAAGCGAGATTTGACTCCTAATTCATAGATTTTATGCACTTATGATGAAGCAAACTGCATTTATACATTCAGAGTTGGACAACGAGAATGAAAGGAGCAGCTACGGTTTAAGTGCCTCTGAAAATACAAAAAGATTTTAGTAAAGACATGTCTTGGGACTTTTCACCATCATAATGCCAAACACTAAAAATGTTTTTATGTCTTAATTTGATGAATCAAAAAGGGAAAAATTAAAAGTTTGTTATGTATTTTTTTTTCTATTTTGTTTTAAAGCCATAGCGCTAACATGTCCACTAATCCCAGTAACAGATATTGGGAGTTTAATTAATATACAGGATAAAATACAAACAGCACCTCTGAAGATTATGATCACTGCATCAGATTTGTAGTAAGAAGAGTAAAGTAAAATACAGACTTTTATTTACGTAACAGATCAGAGACAATTTCCCTCGGGGAAAAAAACAGCGAAACAGAGGTGTGGACGGTTTTTAGTACTATTTCATATAGTTATCTCATTACATTCGTAGATATTTTTAGCCTTACAAACGATCACTACAAAGTAGAATTCATGCATTATTTCTGCATTTTTAAATAAAAAGTGTTTTAAGTCAAGGCTCCATGATTCGCCAACACAGCCATAAATCCCAGGAAGCGAGACAGAAAAATCCAGATTATTCTGCTCACTGGAGTTTTTTACACATCTGATAGCAACAAAACTCAACCAATACAGGCTTTAGGTTTTATTTTTCATTTCTTAAATTATTTTTTTCAGTGTAATGAATGTAATCAGCCCTCTAAATCAGCAATATAAGGGCGGATTTGGTTGATGTTATTTGTTATTTTTACACTTTTAACAGAAGAAATGCTTCGTTTTGCAGCACAGGCGCCAAAATGAACATGATTCGACTTAACGGATTCGCTTTGTTGTTTTAAAATCTGTTATTGTGACCCACCAAGACATAATATCTCCCAGAAAAATACAAACTGGATGGTTGCTTTTGATGGACTAAATGGTAGTTTTATGCTGTCACCAGGTTTAAGGGCTTTAGCTGAACTCTTGTTCCTTTTCTGTCAGAATGTATAAAAGCTGCAACGTATTTTGCATTTGCAACAAACTCCTGCAGTTAACAGCTTAAAGTTTCAGCTCATGAAGCCTTCGACCTGCGTGGCGCACTGATGCTTTCTCCCCACAGAGGTCATGAATATTGGGATTTATTCAATTTATTCTTATTAAACCTTCCCTGGAGTTACACGAGAAGCTCCAAACCAGCAGTGTGTTTACGATAAAACCCAACAGTGACACTCATACAAGCGCTGCATGGACCTAATGACCCTATTAGTGTCATAAATCACACAAAATATGCTCTGTATATAATTTCTAATCTCATTGCTTTTGCACATCGAGCCAGGAGGAGCCATTAGGGACACGTTTTGTCAAGAATGTCATTAGGGTGATAATATCAGTTATATAACCTTCTGCTCTTCAGAAAAGTACATGAATATTCTGCAGTTTTCTTCAGTAAATGTGCTCCCCAGATCAGGATTTAGTTTGCAAATATTTTTTTTTCAAATGCAGATAAACAATTATTATTCTAAATACAAACTAAACAACATTACAGTAGTCAGGTTTCACATTATCAGCAGCGTTTTCAATCGATTAGCAGCAGCTGGAGATAAAAGTCAACAAAACCTCCATAGAAGAGCTTCACTCTCCAGGATTAATGTACTTTTAAATCAAATGTGCTGAAGTTTGTTCACCTTCACGTATGAACTACTGCTGTAGGATTAGCACATATTTAGCATCCTTTTTATCCACTGATTGCAAAATATATGCATTCCAGTTGCATAAGTTCTGATCTTTCAATGTAAAGACGAGCGTCTATTTTTGGCATATAGGTTTTGACATTTTGAAATTCTCTGGTTGTCATAACTTTGAAAAAAAAATGGAAACACTCGTAAATTAGTGTCAGGGAGAGAACGCCGCTGATTAAAGTTGATGTTTCAGATTTGTTGTAAGTGCAGCGATGAACAGGAACAACCCATTAAATCCCACTGAATTTTGATCCAATTCTTTATTGCTTTTGTGTTTTTAACATTTAATGGTAATAAACAGTCTGTCAGCTGATTCCTTGTATTTGTTGTACATATTTCAATTATGGAGACATTTTTTAAGCTCAAACACATCTGAATCTATCTAAAACC